AAATACTTAACTGAATATTTTGCATAAATTGCATATTTATAGATGATAATTTCAACCTTTTTACTTTATTTTTTAATAACTCTGTAATGAACAACGATCGACTGCTAAAACTGTCCGATGGTTAATATTCAGTTAAGTATTTTGCATAAATATCTGCAGTCTAATAATAATATATAATGAATGTGATTAAAAAAAAATAAGCCACTTTTTATGATCCTGTCATTTAATATCGTAATTAAGAAAATTTTATGATATTTTATCTAGGTTGTAACCCAATGGTATCGAGCACCCGAAGTACTTTTAGGATGTTCCTATGCTACTCCTGTAGATGTTTGGTCTGTCGGATGCATATTAGCAGAACTTTGCAAGTTGGAACCGTTATTCCCAGGTACCAGTGAAGGTGATCAACTGGATAGGATTTTCCAGTGAGTTATACTTTCTCTATTTTCAGAATAAACTTTGTATCTCCTGATATTTTTTTATGCTCTTTCTCTCTCTTTCTATATATATATATATATATATATATATTTGGGCTCTTTTATTTTAGAGTTTTGGGTACTCCGTCACAGGAAGAATGGCCGGAGAATGTATCGCTCAATTGGAATGCTTTTCCATACAGACATCCGAGACCTCTCAGTCTAATAGTACCAGATCTCAATGAAGATGGATTAGACTTAATAAAGAACATGCTCATGTTTGATCCTCATAGTCGTATAACTGCAGCTCAAGCCGTAAGACACCGATACTTTTCCGAGGAGGACGTACAATGACTATTCCGTAAATTATCTAGACTTATTGCTGGATTATATATATATAACTGGCTCAGACTGACGTATTATATTCAGGAATAGAAATATATACATATATACGTATATACATATATAAATATATACGACATTTAAGCGTAGTACAGTATGAATATTATTGTAGTACATGTAGAACTATCCAGCGAGAATGGATTGAAATGAATTGAAATGGATTCAGATTTTCAGAAATATTGATTCACGAATGTTAAAATGAATGCTTTTCAATTTTGAATGCATTTTTATTCATTTATAGGAATTGCATGGAGCATATCTCTATGCCTTTCAATCTAAAAATAATATTAGCTTTTTTTGTGCACAAACACAATTGTGAATACTGTTCAATTCAAAATTTTGAATAGGAAATGCAGTTTTTCAATCCAATTGCATCCAATTGAATCTAATTAAATCCAAAAAAAAGTATTCGCTATTTAAAATACGCATTCGGATAGAAAAAAATTTAAATCCATTTTAATCCATTCTCGTTTGGGTACTAATAACATGATTAGTTGATTATATGTTAAATATCTAATTTGAGTATTAACAATTGTGCGTATAAATGCTATAATACTATAAATTCAATTAGCACTTAAATTTGTTGCGTCGTATTAAATAGTAGTCATTATACATATCCCTTACTTTTACATCTTGCGTAATTAAGTTATTAACAGTAAATGTAACAATCTAACACTTTGCGAAATAAGTTTATAATATTTAAGTTAATTTATCCTAGGCATACCTTAATGTACAATATGAAAGTGAAGCGATTATTATTATTTTTGATATGTTATTTATTTACTGTCTCAATGTTTCAGTCAATCGTCTTTTTATAATAACGTCATGAATTACACTCCTGATCAACTTTTTTTTTGTATTTTACAGCAGTTATCACTTGGTGATTAATAGTTTAACTGTATGCACGACATTTACATTATATTACATAAGATATGCGTAGTTACGGCAAATCCTACTAGAGATACGAAAGCTAATACATAGCTAACTTAGCTTTGGTTTAATGCGAAATTAATGTAATTCAAGATAACCCTATGTATATTTTTTATAAGTAGAATTATTTTTCTAAGACTGGGGCCTTTGCGACCCATTAGGAATACGGGAATGATTTAAAGATCTTCCAGAGAAAACCAGAAAGCGCACTGCCATACTTTGCATGTACCATGAACCATTGCAATCATTAATAGCGTATTTTTATTAATGTACAATACTGACAATACGTGTATAAAGCAATAAGTGACAATATTTATGTGCCTCTTAGAGTGCATTATTGTATTAAGACTTCGAAAATAGAATAATCGCATTATTAAGAGAAGACTGTCTTATGAAATAAAAGTTTTATAGTTTTACATGCAAGATTCTGTCTCGCAAGTAATCTCCTCGATGTATCAGCAAACTTTTTGATTTTTTACAATCGTAATGAATACATAAAGCAGTTTGTTGAAACAAAAAAACGTTCCAAACTGACAAGTATTCTGATACATATACTTTTGAAATAATTCGAAATGGATTCCAATCGTAATTATTCGTTTATTCTATAAATTTTTATTGTATTTTCTAGGGGAAATGAAATAAATCCAATAAAAATCCATTCCGAATAATTCTATAATATGTGGTCTGCTTTTGGCTTCTCAACAATTGTTTTGTCTTTTCAACAATCGAATTTCAATTTGAAATTCGCGCTTCGATATCTCGATCGTGGCTGCACTGACACGAACGTCGTGACCTTTGGACTGTAATAAAATGGAATTCAGAGATAAATGAAGCATCGAAACGCGCATGTAATGTGCAGCTAACGATATCCGCTTTACAGATTATCGTAGATTCGACGTCACCGACTTTCGACATGAGATTGCTTTCGAATCTCGTCGTAAGTGCGTACAAACATCTGACAATAGGTGGCAACCTGCCGATTTGTTCTGCTAGTTTAAGGAAAATGGCGACCGAGGTAGAAAAGGCACAGACCGCTGTGCCGAAAGATGATACGATATTTGGAAAAATATTACGTAAAGAAATCCCATGCAACTTTATTTACGAGGACAGCCAGGTAAATTATGACGTAACACATAAAATTATATTTTTTTTGTTGTATTACATAGCAAATTCGACCTACCTACTTGAACGCTTTGCATTTTGACTTGTTATTGAAAGTATTATGTATTATTTTATGCGCGATATTGCTTACCATAACATGAAAAGTATGGCTAAAATGTATTTATATTATTATAATTTGTAATGTGTTCGTAAGCATTAAAATAAATTACATTATTTGCTATGTATTGCATTTATTTTTATATGTACAGCAGAAATTCCATCTAATTATCTGAAATGATTTGTTATTTACTTTGTCATCTATATGATTATTATATAACCACTTGTTCCAGTTTACTGAGTTGCATGGAAACTATTAGTTCACTTTTGTTATATCAGAAAACTTGTGAATTAGAATAAATATAGATATAGAGAGGAAATTAATTTTTAATTTTATATTTTTTTATATTAGTTTTATATTAGTTTGATTTGGATTAAATAATGTATTGTTTTTATGCGAAATGTAATATTAATTTATTGAATATATTTCTGATTTGACAGTGTGTCGCATTTGATGATAAAAATGCTCAAGCACCAGTACACTTTCTGGTGATTCCACGAAAGCCAATTTCGCAACTCTCCAAAGTTCAAGATGAAGATGAGCTTTTGCTTGGTCACCTGATGAATGTCGCTCGTAAAGTTGCAAAACAAAAAGGTTTGACGAATGGATTTCGTATAGTCATCAACGATGGAAAGCATGGTGCACAGTCAGTGTATCATTTGCATCTGCATATTCTTGGCGGTCGGCAGATGCGATGGCCTCCTGGCTAATGTATTTATATTTAAATGTATAAATCTTGATTTTCATTATGAAGTCTTTACATTCTATAAATAAAATGTTGAAAGTATATGGTTGAAGGACATTGTACAAAAAAATATCATTAATGATATCATTTATGTATTAAAATTATAATTAATAATATCAGTAATGTTTTTTGTGACATTCCATTTTTATTTATTACAGATGCAGCAAAAATAATGTTTACAAAAATACATTTACAACAAAAATACATTTTAATTTAGTTTGAAAGAAATAGTTTTATCTTCTTTCATACACTTCATATACAAATTCAATTCCTTTTTCTTCCTGTATACCTTGTGGTACCGTTGAATCCCTGGAATTATTATATTAGCCAAATAACAGCAATGTAAAACATATCTAATACAAATAACAATAACAATATATCTAATACAAAGAAACATTAATACTTACTCGATTAACACGAGATCGTTTGGAATAGAAGGAAAGAACGTATCACATTCAAATTTTTTCTTTATACGCGTCAAATACAATCGTCCAAAGTGCGGAGATTCCATGGCACTCTAGTATAAAATTATATAATAATTGTTACATTTAATTTAAATTTGTATTATTGTTAACATTTAAATTTTTGTTGCAATATCAGGTCTGTTCTTTTAATCGCACTTTCTATTCTTCAAATTGTTTCTCTTTCTTTTAACTTTGAGCAAATACTTGATACGTTTCATTGTGAGTACGTTTCACATGAAGTGGAGAGAATCTATAGTGTTGTGCAACTAAAAAGAACAGATCTTTTAAAAATGTATGTGTTAATGTATGTATCTTAATTTATCGTACAAAGTACCTTGTACACGCTACTTCCTCCTATTACCCATACTCTTTCTACTTCATTCTGCATTTCTGAAATTACGTCAAGCGCGTGTAGTATACTTTTACATGCTATCGCGTCATCTCCATAATTCCTAAAATTGATATATGATCTATTGTTTTCTGACAAATTAAATTTTCTTTGACATTTGTTATAATTACAATGATTGCGAAGTTAACACCATATTTATTCGGTCCTTCAGAGGTCGATACTTTTCAGGGATGCACTCCCATGTGCGCCGACCCATAAGTACGACGTTCCTTTTATTTTTGTTCCTTGTGTTAATCGTCATATGCGTGAAGTACGCCATTTCTGCCCTATACGAATCACTCATTCAAATATTCTTTCTAAATTAATTAAGTATATTTATTAATCTTACTTTAAATGCCAAGGCAAATTGCCATTTACTCCAATGCCCATATTTTCGCATGCTGCGGCAATTAATTCCAATTTAGGTGGCATGTTGAGATGCACTCTTGAATAAATCCGGTATAATGATCCTAAACACATGACATTATTTACGCTTTGTTTAAAAAAATCGTGATAATTGAATACTTCAATTGGAATTTTATTGTTCCATTGAAAATATTAGTTCGTGAAAAAGTCGTAGAATGTTAATATTGATGATTCTTCGATATGATTGCGTTTTTAATAATAGTGATAAGGAACAATCACACAGATGTATCAACGATTATAAATTGTAATGAAGTCTCTTTTTAATTTTTATGTTGTCAATTTCAAGGACTAAGATTCCTTTCACTTTGTCAATGCTAATAATATTATTGTAACTCAAAGAGTTACAGTAATAGTGTTTTTAAAATATAAGCTCTAATTGTAATTATAAAAAAATTTATAAATTATAATTTACAGCAAATATATTTTAAGAAAAAGCTATTGATTTGTATTTAGAAAAATGAACACGCTGACATTTTTGCTTCAATTCTCGATTTTCTATCAAATATTTTTTTATTTTATTATATTAAGAATCCTTTTAGATTCTACAGAAGATGCTGATATCAGTAAGTACTCTACATGATTCTTATTATCATGCTTTGACGTCAAACAAATTTTTTTACTAAAATTTCATTACTTATACAAGCTAATTAAATAAAATAATAAATAAATTATGTGAACAAAAAATCTAAATTGTTGCCACGTATTAAATTTTTCAATTAATTATCTTGATAAGAATCTTATTTGCTTATTCTACTAACTTTATCACCGCTCTGCTGATTATCACGAAGGAAACTGTTAACCGACTAGTGAGACTAACGGTCGAGCTATTCGAATATCTTGTCCCCACCATTCGGTTTTGGAATTCTTGGGAGAAACGCGAATCTTTCTTTTAAAGAAGTGCAATATTTGCCATTCTTTTTGGCTGTGCTTTTCTTCACTTCCTAAATGATCTAAAAAGAAGGAAGAACAATTTTCTGTAGCATAGCGTGTAATATAAAAGTCTGTTCGGTTTAGCTGAACTTTTTTTATACTCTTCATCTTTCCTCCTCTTTTCTTCAGCGTGGAGAAAAAAAGAAGAGAGATGAACGATATAAGAGAAGTTTAGTTGAAAAGAACAAACCAATAAATAGAAGAAGAGAAAACTTTTAAACTAGGGAACTTCGAGAATCTTATTCCAATAATAACGCCAATACTGCCAACATTCGAACTTCGGACAAAACCAAAAAGGACAGAAGATATATTAGTGTTATTTGCAATAATATTTATGTTGTTATTCAGAGATATAAATGTTAATTGAATGTGATGAGAAAGAGACTTGCACTCAAGAGAGATAATTCAAACAATCTCGATCAAATTTGTTCATATAAAAAATATATATACAACTTACTTGCATATTTATAACTGTTAAAGTTGAACAACATTGCATCGAATTCTTAAATGATTCCAAGTACGATCTTCGTTCATTAAAAGCTGTGTATCGTAATCTGATGAATCTTGATAGATTATTTCGAACAATGAAATAATTATTTTTTATAAAAACCACAAGTAGTAGCTGTTTTTTATAATTATCTTACACTTTCTGGAATTAAAATGAAAAATGGGTGTAAAACTCTTTAGATTATAAAATGTAGGAGAGAATTCTATTTACAATTTAATATGTCATATTTCTGACGAAAATTTTTCCTAAAACTTTTATACGACTTGAAACATTTTTTAGAAAAACTTAAAAAGTTTACAACTTTTCTTAGAATATATTATATATATATATA